GACTCAAGCAAAATTTATTATCTAACAATTCGACGGGTATTTGAGGTATATGAAATTTAACGCTACGTTGAACCTGTATTATATGTTTAATACGGTTATTTTACATATATAGTATAGCATTAGAAGATGTGCAAAGAAAAAATATTAACAAAATAAATATTGAAATTGATATAATAATTGACAAAAATATACGCATTTCTTCTTATTTATGTATGTGTAAGCTGACATTAAAATGATACATTTTTCAGGGTAACAGCCAAACAGAGCGCTTAAATTTAGCGATTATGACTGTGACGTAGACTTTACAGAACGAACAGAACTATGAAATAGACCGCGGAGGACACATTTGACGTTGTGTACATTTTTTCTTCTAAAATTCAGAAGATAAACATGAATTAAACAACCTATGATAAATAGACTGTTCTGCAGTGTTTGTAGCACATTTGATCTTTAAGGCGATTTCTTTATCTTAATTTGACGTTACGTTAAACTTCATTATGGTATGACGTCAAAAATCGTTATCTGTTTGCATACCTATCGATTTCGAACAGCTATAAATTATCGTGTAACTGAGAATTATCTTTTTTCATAAAATTGTAAAAATTGGAGAAAAAAATGTGGAATTATTGCACCTTTCTTGTTCGTTTTTGTGCCCCCACTTTAGGGGGGGGTAGATTTACCCTATGATCTTCATTCCGTCCATAATTTTTGTTTAAAAAAGAAGGAAATCGCATAAACTAACTGGTTTATATGGTAATTTTACTGGTTTATTGGGAAAAATGCCACATACAGATCAAAGAAAAAGCACATAAACCCCAATTGTTGGCACGTCCGTCCGTCCGTTCTCTTTTGTGTCGCACGTAACTCAAAACGTATTTAACCTAGAGTCATGAAACTTGACAGGAATGTTGATCAGAATGTGTAGCTGTCAACCTGGGTATTTTCGTCTGGATTTATTTAGTATTTTAGAGTGATTGCCCTTGACTTAGTATATTTTTTTTTAATTTTCAACTTGTGTCGCATGTTACTCAAAAAGGATTTGACATAGAGTCATGAAACCTTACGGGAATGTTGCTCAGCATATGAAGTTGTCCACCTTGGGCTTTTCTTGTGGATTTATCTAGTATTTGTAGAGTTATTGTCCTTGACTTAGTAAAAACCGTTTTATTATGTTGTGTTATTTGTTCCTTGAGTGCTTGATTTAGAATCAACAAACTTTACAGGAATAATGATCAACATCACTAAAGATCACCATCACTGTGAACCTATGCACCTGGGACTTTGCATGTGGGTAGTATAGATTTGAAATTTTCAACTTGTTCATGCATATCTCAAAAAGTATTTAACTTGTAGGCCTAGACGTTTACAAGTATGTTGGTCAGCATGTGTACTTATGCACCTTGGGGTTTCCTTGTGTATTTATTCAGCGTTTGTAAAATTCTTGCCCTTTACTTAGTAAAAGATTTTTAGTTTTCAACTTGTTGCACATGTAATCCAAAAAATATTTGACCTAGAGTCATAAGATTGACAGAATAGTGGCGTGTGGGGGCACCCATTTCCTATGGACACATTTCTTGTTTGTTCGTTTTTTTTCTTTTCTTTCTTTTTTTTCTTTCTTTCTTTCTTTCTTTCTTTCTTTCTTTCTTTCTTTCTTTCTTCTCTTTCTCAAGGGGGTCATACGATGCGTGCGCATCCTGAAAATTCTGATACCGAGGACACTTTAAGAAACAACAAAAAACGAGTCATGTAAGGAAATTAGAATATGTCTGAATTTAATTTTTTTGCAAAGAAGTTGTCCTTTCTTCTTGTTTTAAGATTTCAAATGCCTTGACACAACTTCCTTTCCGTCAGTATTTTGCGTTGAATGCGATTTGGATTCTGGATACACCCGGCGTTGAAATGTTACAGAAATTGAGAAATTGGCGATTAAACGGAAAGTTTCAGACGACTGGAAGTTATTGTAATGTACAATTAATTTCAAAAATATATTTTCAATCTTTGTTCTTTTTCCTTTGTACGAAAATGTCTTAAGACAAAATATTTTCGGAAAATATACATTATGAAACTGGAACACTCTCAAAAGAAATCAAGATACTGCGTACTCAGTTATGTGTTATTTATGCGTAGCAGTCTATAGCTAATAATGGAATCAAAAAGATAAAACTGACAAAAGAATCCTGTGAAAAATAGTGCACCTTAAATAATGCTTAATATGTACATCCTCAAGAAGGTTTAAATTCAATATATTTTCGCTAAATATGTCATTTGTGTCTCTATCCTGATAAAAGATTCCGTACAATGCATTTAAAAATAACTTACTTTTTAGTCAAATTTAAACTTCATTTAATATGGTTGAAAAAGAAAACAAAAAAACAAAGAACGGTCGCTAAACCTTCCGTTTACACAAATCTTTTGAGAAAAACAAATATTTAAAACGTTGATTAAGTTGTTTGTGCTTATTTAATTTCTTTTTAAGTTCTTCAGCGAAATACAGAGTATTTATTGTCGTGAAATAAAGGCAACGAGCAACGTTGAAATAGCGTTCTTTTTTGACGCACCACACGATGATGGGCGCTGCATTGCGACGTCACGTAAACAACACTCCGGACAAGTGTACGAGTTTAATGGCTGAATGAAATATATTGGTGTCCATGTTTATTTTCTTATTTAGACAATTTCTATCATTTTAGAAAACTTCAAAAAAAGTTGTTTTTCTTTATCAGATAATCCAACATGGCTCTGTAAATGTGTTGGTTTGCAAATATGACTGGAGAAATAAAGTACGGGTATTGTATCTTATTAGGAAATAAATATCAATTCCGACTGCATTGTTGTAGAATAATCTACGGTTTGGCTCAATGCGTAGTAATGTATTACGCAGGCAAAAGGCCTGAGTAATAAAATTACAAAGCATTTGAACGAAAAACCGTGTATTTTATACTTTATCACAAACCTGTACCGCCTTTGCGACTCCGTGAAAATGGTATCGCACGGTCAAGCATTTATTTTGACGTGACATCATTTGCGTTTTTTCTAATACTGCACGTTTGTTTGTAACGCCGCTTTTCATTGGATAAACGTGGCGTTTATATAGTTTAATATACAGGGCTTCTGTCGTTTTATAAAAAATTATACTATTTCCCTAAACAATTATGCTTCTATCGACTAGGGCTATATTTCCAAACAACCGTTTATATAGGGCCTTTTAACCTGAAAAAATAGTTATAACTTATTATATACACAGCAGCAGTCAATTGATGAAAAAATCTTACTTTTGTTTCTCAAAAGAAAGTATGCAGTATAAATCAAAGGGAAGCGTCGTATGCCAGGGATCATGGATTTGAGCCCTTATCGGGTCACGACCATGTTTCTGCATATGACACCAGTACTTGTTGGTTCCAGAAACCGGATTTGAAAGTGATAAATAAAAGCAACAAGAACTTGTTTCTCGATCGAGCTTGAATAAATATATTTAAACCAAATAAATTCGTTATATATATTCCTGATGGGTTTTATGGTCGTATGTGAACGGTTGTTTGCATAATAACCCTCGAGTGGCGGCTTGGTTTATATTTACAAACAAGGGCAAAATAACATATAATACCTTTATAACTGAAAAGTTAATCCTTATTATTGAATTTTTCCAGAATAATTTACTGCTCTCATCAGATTCAGATTAAACATCTTTTTTATAGTAGAACTTGACGGTTATGATACACATTGTTTGAACATGTTCATTCTAAATGACTAAATTTCGACATAAACTGTATATACTAAATATAAGTGTACTATTGAGTTCATCCAAGCAAAAAAGACCACTTTTTAACTGTATTTTATAAAAACATATATTTAATTATGCCAAAACGCTAAAAAAATGTTGTCAATAGACCAGGAACAGAAATTTAATTGTGATAAAATGTTATTGTGATAATATGCCGTTATCTTTATTTTAATATTATACCTGAATGTCGTTCTTTCTCTTTATATTCGTACTTTATTTGAAAGATTTTCCACTATATCATAGTTGTATTCAGAGGACTCTTCATCAACAATTTTGTTATAATACTCAGAAAATAACCATCTGACTACAAAAATTGTAAACAAATTGTAAAAGAATATTCAATTCCGCTACATTTCTTTTCTGTTTTTCTAGGATGTACATTTTAACAATTATTTCCGCAAGGGCACGTAAGATTCGATTTTTTCTAAGTTCGTCCATGATTCCTGCTTTATCCAATCATAAATCATAAATCACAGACTGCTTCGGAGAAAGTGTACGCAGTATCTTAATTTATTTAGAGTGTTCGAAGCATCACAATGTGTATTTTCATTAATAGTCTGTTTTAGGATATTATTCGTAAACAGGAAGAGAGCAAATATTGAAAATATGTTTTTGATATAGATTCTCCTATATACTAACTCTCAGTCTTTGAAACGTTCAGATTAATTGACAATTTCTTAATTTCAACGTCATATGAACGCAGTATCCAGAATCCAAATCGCATCAAGGCGAGGTACTGATGAGAAAGGGAAGAGTTGTGACAATGCATTTAGAATGTTTAAACTAGAAGTAAGGATATCTTCTTTGCAAAGGAAATCAAATTCAATTATATTCTGATTTCCTTACATGACTCGTTTTTATTCAAAATAGCGGTTGACAAAGTGTTCGCGAAATCAGAACTTTCAGGATGCGCAGGCATTGTCTAACCCCCTTCTGACTGTTTTTATGTGCATTTCATCTCCAAACCTCTCACCCAGCTTTACAAAAAATATTGAAAGGAATACTAAATATTTGGTTTCCTTGTGCATATCTTAAGGAATCCGACTTAAACCTATAAATGACCTTTAACTTTATCTTTAATTTCTTATATTTAGATTTTGCTAAAATTCCCATTATTATTTGTAATATTGTTGTGTTCAAACTTTGACATAAGGCCCTTTCTAAGGTACATTTATCTTTGCTCTTTTTGAACATATTAGTATCATTCCTTTTCTTCAGAATGGATGATATAAAAAGAGAACTATTTAGGGACATAGAGAAAGCAATTTTAGGTGGTGGCAAACAGAATAAATCCAGAAAGTCATTTAACCTTCTCTACACGTTAAGCAACACTATGTTTCGAGCAGACGAATTTCATGAAAAGTGTGACGGAAAAGGACCAACGTTGACATTACTATATGGTAGGTTTAATAATTGTTTTGGAGGTTATACAAGTCAAGACTGGAGTTGCGAGTCACATAGGACAAAGCGAGACGAATCTGCTTTCTTGTTCTTTAAAAACAAAAATGCAGAGGCAGAATGCAAAATTTTTCCCATACCAAAGAATAGTGCGGACAATGCTATTGTATGCGATAAAAAGTTTGGACCTACCTTTGGGTACACAAAAAAGGCGATGTTTCGTTATTATGATCTACAGACTTGTTATGAATCAGGAAAGCCAATGTCGCAAGAAGAAAACAATAAGTGGTTTACTCTAAACGGTCAATTACATGTGCCTTATCTTTACAAGCCCAGATCAGATTCGGAGAAAACATCACCAGGTGGGGAAACAACGGGTGATTTTAACGGTGGGACTTTGTCAGTCTTTAGAATGGAAGTGTATCAAGTAATTGGTAAGTCAAGCTTTTTGTGTAGCAAAACTTAATTCATCAATGATTTTATGCCTCCTTCATAAAATTGCTGGGCTATATAGTGTCATTCCGTCATCATCAGTTTTCGTTCATAATATCTTGGCAACACTTGCACATATCAATTCAAATTTGGCGTGTGTATAAATCATACAAAAATGTAGGGAAAGTATGATATTGGTCATGGTCCGATAATTTTTGACATCATTACTCCGCTTGAAGAAAGTTTCAGTTCATTATCTCACAAACAATTGTTCGCAATCAACTCAATATGACATATGGATACGTCAAAGGAATGCACAGGTCAAGTTCGAATTTGACCATGGTTTGTTGATTTTTGGCAGAGATATGCTCCTTTAACTTTGTAAAAAAGAGATGGTTTCAGTTTCCGTCCATTATCTCCCCATCAGTTGTAAACATTCAATTCAAAGTTAAGATATGCACATGTCATAACATAGGTTTGCGCAGGTGAAGTTCGGATTTGGTCATAGTTCAATGATTTTGACAGAGTTATTCCCCTTAAACTTTAAACAAAGGAGAATTTTTGAATTTCAAAATTTCACCAACAGTTATAAACATTCAACTCAAATTAAAATATATTCACATGTCAAATATATGGGCAGATCATGTTCGATATAAGTCATGGTTTGATGAGTTTTGACAGAGTTATGCCCCTTTACCATTGAAAAAAATTCAGTTTCCGCTCATTACCTCCAAAACAGTTTATCACATTCAACTCAATTTTGACATATAGATACGTCAAAGACATGCGCAGATCATCTTCGAATTTGGTCATGGTTTGAATTCTTACAGAGTTATCCCTCTTCAACTTGGAACCTGAACTTTGAAAAAAAAATCTTTCAGTTTCCGTCCATTATCTTACCAACAGTTGTACACATTCAACTCAAATTTGACATACAGATACATAATTGAAATAAGCTGATCAAGTTTGAATTTGGTTATTGTTCAATGATTTTTCCGATTACTCTACTTTTCTTAATGGTCTTATTAATGGGTACCATTTCTTAATAATAGAAAAGGATTTGTTTTCAAAAAATATAGGCAAACGTTTTCATTAAACAGCTTCCGGAATAAGTTTGCATAAATCGGGATTTTCGCAAAGTCAGCTGCCTTTTCTTAAGTAATTATAGAATGAAAAGTATAGTCAAAAATGGGTATAAAGTGAAGCAAAAACTGGTATTTAAAGCAGCACGCCTCCAGATTCATGATAATTTTCATGAAAATTTTGAAAATGTATTCGAATGTGTAATATTGTAGAGTAACCGAAAGGAATCAAATAACACATTATCATTGGCACTTACAAACCACGTATATTACCAAAACGTGGTCAAAATATGCATAAAGAGCCTTTACTGCGTTAGTAACGCAGTATAAATATAGTTTTAAGTACTGAAAAATCAGTCATAATTCGGACATAGTATGTAAAATAGTACTTGAATCTTGAAAATTTTTACCTTTTCTTATATCTAAGTACATTTTTCTCAAGTTTGGTTTTAATGAAATATTTCGACTCATCTGGAGGCATGTAGCTTTAAACACATACCACTAACAATGGTTGCTGGAGAGACAATCAAAAGTGAGTCTCACACTGTTTGTTGTTTTTTATGCCACCGCAACATCTGCGATGCGGTGGCATATAGCGATTCACCTGTGTGTGTGTGTGTGTGTGTGCGTGTGTGTGTGTGTGTGTGTGTGTGTGTGTGTGTGTGCGTGCGTGCGTGCGTGCGTGCGTGTGTGTGTTTGTTTGTTTGTGTGTGTGTGTGTGTTATATAGATTATATAGTGAACTTAATAAATTTTCTTGTGAATAACCCCTAATCCAATTTCAACCAAACTTGGCAGGATTGATCCTTGGGTGAAGGGCTTCCAAAGTTGTTCAAAGAATTTCATTCCTTGCAGAAATCTGGTTGCCATGGCAACCAAAAGAATTATAAGAATAAATTAAAAAAAATCTTCTTGTAAAGACCCAAAAGGCATAGAGCTTAGATATTTTGCATAAGGCATTGTCTGGTAGACGTCTACCAAGATTGTTCAAATTATAGCCCTGGGGTCAAAATCGGCTTGCCCCGGGGGTCATTAATTTTCACTATATGTACATATAGTAAAAACTTAAAATACCTTCTTGTAAAGACCCAAAAAGCCTAGAGCTTAGATATTTTACATAAGGCATTGTCTGGTAGACCCTTACCAAGATTGTTCAAATTATAGCCCTAGGGTCAAAATCGGCCCCGCCCCGGGGGTCATTGATTTTCACTATATGAACATATAGTAAAAACTTAAAATACCTTCTTGTAAAGACCCAAAAGGCCTAGAGCTTAGATATTTTGCATAAGGCATTTTCTGGACCTCTACCCAGATTGTTCAAGTTATAGCATTGGGGTCAAAATCGGCCCCGCCCCGGGGGTCATTGTTTATCCTTATATGTATATACTAAAAACTTATAGTAAAAACTTTAAAAAAAATTCTTCTAGCAATTGACAAATGCTAGAGGTTAGATATTTTGCATGAAACATTGTGAAGTGAACCTCTAGCAAGATTGTTCAAATTATAGCCCTGGGGTCAAAATTGCCTCAGCGTTGGGGGTCATTGATTTTCAATATATCCATACTGTTAGGGGTCATTGATTTTCAATATATACATACTGTAAAAAATCAAAAAATCTTATTGTCTGAAGGTACAAGGCTTAGAGCTTTAATATTTGTTAAATGATATCATCTATAGGTACTCTACCAAAGTTGTTCAAATTTTGCCTCTAGTGTCAAAATTAGCCCCGCCCCGGGGGCCATAGGTTTTCCTTATATGTATATAGTAAAAACTTAAAAAATCATCTTCTCTAAATTTACAAAGGCTAGAGTTAAGATATTTTGCATGAAACATTGTGTAGTGAACCTCTAGCAAGATTGTACAAATTATAGCCCTGGGGTCAAAATTGGCCCCACCCCCAGGGGTCATTGATTTTCACTATGTACATATAGTAAAAAATTAAAAAATCTTCTTGTCTGAAGGTACAAGGCTTAGAGCTTTGATATTTGGTATATAATATCATCTATGGGTCCTCTACTAAAGTTGTTTTAATTATGCCCCTAGTGTTAAAATTGCCCTGCCCCAGAGGCGATAGTTTTCCTTATATGTATAAAGTAAAAACTTGAAAAATCTTCTTCTCTGAATTGACAAAGGCTAGAGGTTAAATATATGGCATGAGACTTTGTGAAGTGAACCATTACCAAGATTGTTCGAATTATAGCCCTGGGGTAAAAATTGCCCCCGCGTCGGGGTCATTGATTTTCAGTATATACATATTGTAAAAAAAATTAAAAAAATATTTTTATCTGAAGGTGCAAGGCATAGAGCTTTGATGTTTGCTATATAATATCATCTATAGGTCCTCTACCAAAGTTGTTCAATTTTTTCCCTTGTGTCAAAATTGGTCCTGCCCAGGGGCAGTGATTCTCATTATGTACACATAGTAAAAACAAAAAATAAAACAAATGTTTTCTGAAATGGGAGAAAGCTACAGTTTAGATACTTGACTTGAAATGTTGTTTGGTGGACCTGTATCAAGATTGTTTTGAATTAAACCCTTGGGTCAACATTTTGCCTTGCCCAAGGGGACAGTGACCTACTTTCTTGTCATTCGATGTACAGCAATGAAATTTTGACCATGTGCACAGTTTTAGTTGTAAAATTGAACTTTGATATCAGGTGACCTAGATTTTGATGATGTGACATACTTTCTTGTCCTTAGATGTACAGCTATGAAATTTGAACCATATGCACAGATTGAGATGTGAAGTGAACTTTGTTATCAGCTGACCTAGATTTTGACAAAGTGTCTTACTGTGTAATGTCCTTTGATGTAGTCAAGAAATTTAGGCTGTGTGAAATATGACCTTCACCACCAAATTCACTAGACTCAAGTGCATTGATATATTCCTACTCTGATCTTTTATTGGATTAACAATAGATTTAACCACTAATCTGATAATAAGAATTAGATAGGTCAGGGACCTATGCATTATGACAATCTTCAATTGTATAGAAACAAAAAAACAACTGTTCCTACACTACTATTAAGTGTTGTATTAATGCGGTGGCATAGCATTTTTCTCAAATGCAATCTTGTTTTTCATTCTCCCACTGGGTTTTCTTACCCCATTGGGTAATCCATTAGGTTTTACTCCCATTCTAGAATGAGGGAGATAAATACAAGTTTGCTTCTTTAAAAAGAAGCATGCGAGAGGTCTTTTTTGCAGCTGTTGAAGATTTGTTAATTTCGAAAATATTTGGAGATATAAAAGACACGTAAATGATTTTTCCTTGTACCGATTTGTTCACTTCGATGTTAATTTTTTATTTAAGTTAAGTCGTTTTTTTTTTTAAAACGGAGCATGCGTTAATAATTTTTGTAGACTGATTCTTATGATTTAATGCATAAAATGCGAAGCATTAGCTTCAATTTGATACGCAAAAATGGATGCCACCAGCAATCATTCTCAACACTGTGGAGAGGTCTGATGACCTCTCCAATAATTGGAGATTTACAAAAAAAATAAAGAATTAACATTTTTGCAAGAAAATCATTGGTGTAGTCTTCAAATACTTGATTGTGTAAATAAAAACGTAAAAAGTAATGTTTAAAAATCTTCCCACTTTCGTTGCAGGGAAAATCCACCCATGGGTGATATCTCTCATTCGGATTATGGGGGGAAGTCCTATGTTGATACATGGAAGAAAATCCCATTTCTGATTATGGGAGAAAATTCCCTTTCCTTACAAATGGAAGAATATTCTATCTATGAGATGTGACGCTGATAACGCATAATACAATATACAATAATAAAGTAAAATTAAAATTACAGATAAAATGCGCGGAAAACGCAATAAAATAATTATAATAATAACTATTATTATTATTATTATTATTATTATTATTATTATTATTATTATTATTAAAATAATAATAAA